TGACTGCTTTTCCTTCACTCTGCCATCCAACTCATCCCAAACCATCTCAATTGGGTTGAGGTCGGGGGATTGTGGAGGCCAGGTCATCTGATGCAGCACTCCATTACTCTCCTGCTTGGTAAATTGGCATAGCACTTACACAGCCTGGAGGTGTTGGGTCATTGTCCTGTTGAAAAACAAACGATAGTCCCACTAAGCCCAAACCAGATGGGATGGTGTATCGCTGCAGAATGCTGTGGTAGCCATGCTGGTTAAGTGTGCCTTGAATTCTAAATCAATCACAGACAGTGTCACCAGCAAAGCACCATAACACCTCCTCCTCCATGCTTTACGGTGGAAACTACACATGCGGATATCATCCGTTCACCCACACCGTGTCTCACAAAGACATGGCGGCTGGAACCAAAAATCTCCAATTTGGACTCCAGACCAAAGGACAAATTTCCATCGTTCTAATGTCCAATGGTCGTGTTTCTCTTCTTCTTTTTATTGGTGTTCTTTTGTAATGGTTTCTTTCCAGCAATTCGACCATGAAGGCCTGATTCACACAGTCCCCTCTGAACAATTGATGTTGAGATGTGTCTGTTACTTGAACTCTGTGAAGGATTTATTTGGGCTGCAATTTCTGAGGCTGGTAACTCTAATGAACGTATCCTCTGCAGCAGAGGTAACTCTGGGTCTTCCTTTCCTGTGGTGGTCCTCATGAGAGCCAGTTTCATCATAGTGCTTGATGGTTTTTGTGACTGCACTTCATGAAACTTTCAAAGTTCTTGAAATGTTCCGTATTGACTGAGCTTCATGTCTTAAAGTAATGATGGACTGTCGTTTCTTTTGCTTATTTGAGCTGTTCTTGCCATTATATGGACTTGGTCTTTTACCAAATTGGGCTATCGTCTGTATAACCCCCCTACCTTCTCACAACACAACTGATTGCCTCAAACGCATTAAGAAGAAAATAAATTCCACAAATTAACTTTTAAGAAGGCACACCTGTTAATTGAAATGCATTCGAGGTGACTACCTCATGAAGCTGGTTGAGAGAATGCCAAAAGTGTGCAAAGCTGTCAACAAGGCAAAGAGTGGCTATTTGAAGAATCTCAAATATAAAATATATTTTGATTTGTTTAACACTTTTTTGGTTACTACGTGATTCCATATGTGTTATTTCATAGTTATGATGTCTTCACTATTATTCTACAATGTAAAAATAAAGAAAAACCCTTGAATGAGTAGGTGTGTCCAAACTTTTCACTGGTAGTGTATATCATCCAATTAAATGTTTACTTGCAGGTTCCTTCTCGACAATGCAATAACAATCATTATAAAAGAGAAGAATTCGAACATAAAGTCAATGGCTCAGTAGAAAATAATACATATTTTAGCATAAGTATAATACAGGAATTATTATCTTTGACTACATTAACCTTAAGAGTCCATTGACGCACCCGTAGTAAAGAATCCCCATCAAAATCTGTTAGTTTAAGCTAGAGATGTGTTTTTTTTGTTGCATGGGCTGCGTCTCAATCCACCACATCCGTCTATGTCGGCCTTCCGCATCTGCGGTGGAAGGTGGCCAAGCAACAGCGGTGTTTGTCAGACCATGAGACATACCGAAAATCGGTCTTCTCACTAAAATGTCTGTAGCGTCCAAAGGGTTTGGCCTACAAACTAATAATATGACCACTCTATGGAAAGATGAGACTCGTTTTGCTCGACGACCCCCACAAGTGTCACGGGACTCATCTGAAGTTGGTAAGGCTGATGTGCCAACTTCTGTCTGTAGCGTCCGAACCGTTTGGGCTACAAACTAATACGTTTGGGCTACAAACTCTCGTGAACACGATGGTGTTATCTGTTTTGCTCTATGGCCCCCACAAGTGTCACGGGTATGTATGGAGGTAGTTTTGTGCCAACAAAAATAAGGTATTTCTTAGATCTCCTAGATATAGGACAGACAATACAGTATAAGCGAAAAAATTTGACATTGATGCGAATTTCTTGATCTGGTAGAGCCTGCTTTGAGGATAACACAGTGCCACCGACGCTACCCGCTCCCAAGGACTGTTGGCTCTCGTTCTCCGTGGCCGACGTGAGTAAGACATTTAAGCGTGTTAACCCTCGCATGGCTGCCAGCCCAGACGGCATCCCTAGCCGAGTCCTCAGAGCATGTGCAGACCAGCTGGCTGAAGTGTTTACGGACATATTCAATCTCTCCCTATCCCAGTCTGCTGTCCCCACTTGCTTCAAGATGCCCACCATTATTCCTGTACCCAAGAAAGCAAAGGTAACTGAACTAAATGACTATCGCCCCATAGCACTCACTTCTGTCATCATCAAGTACTTTGAGAGGCTAGTTAAGGATCATATCACCTCTACCTTACCTGACACCCTAGACCCACTTCAATTTGCATACCGCCCCAATAGATCCACAGACGATGCAATCACCATCGCACTGCACACTGCCCTATCCCATCTTGACAAGAGGAATACCTATGTAAGAATGCTGTTCATTGACTATAGCTCAGCCTTCGACACCATAGTACCCTCCAAGCTCATCATTAGGCTTGGGGCCCTGGGTCTGAACCCCGCCCTGTGCAACTGGGTCCTTGACTTCCTGACGGGCCGCCCCCAGGTGGTGAAGGTAGGAAACAACACCTCTACTTCGCTGATCCTGAACACAGGGGCCCCACAAGGGTGCGTGCTCAGCCCCCTCCTGTACTCCCTGTTCACCCATGACTGCGTGGCCACGCATGCATCCAACTCAATCATCAAGTTTGCAGACGACACAACAGTAGTAGGCCTGATTACCAAAAATGAAGAGACAGCCTACAGGGAGGAGGTGAGGGCCCTGGTGGAGTGGTGCCAGGAAAATAACCTCTCCCTCAACGTCAACAAAACGAAGGAGCTGATCGTGGACTTCAGGAAACAGCAAAGGGAGTACGCCTCTATCCACATCGACGGGACTGCAGTGGAGAAGGTGAAAAGCATCAAGTTCCTCGTCTTACACATCACTGACAGTCTGAAATGGTCCACCCACACAGACAGTGTGGTGAAGAAGGTGCAACAGCGCCTCTTCAACCTCAGGAAGCTGAAGAAATTTGACTTGGCCCCTTAGACCCTCACAAACTTTTACAGATGCACAATGAGAGCATCCTGTCGGGCTGTTTCACCAGCTGGTACGGCAACTGCACCGCCCGCAACCGCAGGGCTCTCCAGAGGGTGGTGCGGTCTACCAACGCATCACCGGGGGCACACTGCCTGCACTCCAGGACACCTACAGCACCCGATGTCAGGAAGGCCAAAAAGATCATCAAGGACATCAACCACCCGAGCAACGGCCTGTCCACCCCGCTACCATCCAGAAGGCGAGGTCAGTACAAGTGCATCAAAGCTGGGACCGAGAGACTGAAAAACAGCTTCTATCTGTTAAATAGTCCACTATCACTAGCCGGCTACCACCTGGTTACTCAACCCTGCATCTTAGAGGCTGCTGCCCCATATACATAGACATGGAATCACTAGTCACTTTAATAATGGAACACTAGTCACTTTAATAATGTTTACGTACTGCTTTACTCATTTTATATGTATATACTGTATTATATTCTACTGTATTTTAGTCAATGTCACTCCGACATTGCTCAACCTAATATTTATATATTTCTTAATTCCATTATTTTACTTTTAGATATGTGTGTATTATTGTTAATTGTTAGATACTACTGCACTGTTGGAGCTAGGAACACTGCTAAATATGTGTATGTGACCAATAACATTTGATTTTATTTAATACAGAGCAATCCATTTAGTTACCGGTACCTTTTTAAGGGCCTGAGTTTTTCCTGACCACATGACCTGACCAGGACAAAATGGGCTGTAGTTATACCCTACAATTAGGCCCCAGAGTTTCTCCTGGTCACATGGCCATGAAAACTTTATCAACCCCCTTCATTTCTATTCATCTCTACACATGAATGATCAAATGTATCCATTCAGTTCAAAAGCAGCATTAGTAGCCATTGGCATTGGGTCACGTATTAGGAGGAAAAACATTGTAGTTCTGTGGGAGTCACAATACTTGGGACACACACACACACATCAGAGTGGCAGTATTACCCTGAGGGTATTTACGTTTTGTTCTTTCACTCTGTTTTGGTCAGAGTTGTCTAGTTTGTCCTTGAGACTGTGTACTGTCTGGTAGTTTCCCCCATTCATGGATTTCCTAGATTAGTCTCTTTGTTTTTGCCTAATCTCTCTTATTATTCAGGCCCTTTCTGCACTTTTGGCAAAGCCTCCTAACCTTTGCAATGTCACACTGCATTAGTTCAGTGCATTAGTTGCATCATTCACCTCTCAATTCACATCCGGTCATGTTCTACTTTTCTACATCAGTTGCTTCTGTTTATTCTATGTCCTGCATTTATTGTAAAAAGTGCTCCTTTCAGAGCTCAAAACCATTACCAACATATACTGTATGGTCAACATGGAGTTAATTTAAAGGGAAATGGCAGTGCCCTACTTGGCATAAAAAGGCACGCACACACACACACTCTCACACAGTACCCACTCTCACACAATCTCATATTGGCAGGTCCTATTGTTAGGCTAAGCCCCCGTTTCTACATCAGTACCAACTGGCCAGGGAGCAGCTGAATTCCCTGAACAAAACCTCCTTCTGTTTCAGTATGCAGCTGCAGCTTCAGAGATGCCCTAGTCGGATTCATGACCTACTGTGGAAAGACCGGAACCCTCCACCATGAAGAGGGGGGACCATTTGTGACAAATTATAGTTTTGATCTGGATGACCTCTATTGTTAGGTTTTGAGTACCATCACAGTAATCAACCAGTCATTTTTACAGTACCAGTGGTTATTTTTCTTACAAGCCTTGGAAAATAGCTTGGCAGCCTGATGGACAATCTTTGTTATTGCAATTGATCTCCCCCTCTTCAGATGGACTATTCAAATTCCACATCTGAAAAATCAGATAGTTGGAAAATAATTATTCATGTCAGGGACTGCTGTTGCCCCAGCACGGATAATAGCAGAGGACACCTGACCTGAGGTAATATCACATTATTATACGCTTTGAAATATAATGTACTTACATTTAATTGGCTTAATTATTATCCATTATTATCATATTATACTTGTATTATTCATTTATTTCATAGAATTGTAATACAACATCATATCTTCATAAAATCCTTAATGTGTGTTGTATGCTCATAAATTAACAAGTCAATTAAATATTTTAGTATTGTGCTTCATATAATGTTATGCAATTTTTTTCTTCATCTGTTATGATAGCTTGTCAATATTTCATTCTCGATTTAGCTCATCTCTCACCCCTAATTGTTTGTAAAGTCAGTCTACTCAAATGAGACTTTCTCATTTTTTGCAGATAAGCAAATGGATCATCAGGAGCTGAAAGAACCTGTGAATAATGTCTCTCTCATTAAAGGTAACACAAACCCTCTCTTTATTCTTACTACATGAAATTGGACAGATTGGACTGGATATACTGTATGTTGGATCAGTTCTGATGTCTAGGACCAGTCACTCTTGTGCAAGTCATCCCAGACCAAAGTGAGGAGGAAAGGGTCAAAGAGAGGCAGACTTTGAAAAGGAAATATTGGGTGTACAGGCAATTTGAGAGCTCACATTTCTAAGGCATTGTGCTAAGGGCCACAGTTCTCTGTGGAATCTTATATACTTAATACTTCTGAGAAAATAAAAAAGAGCCCTACTAACTTCTAATAGACCCTTATTTCATAGTTTTGATGTCTTCACTATTATTCTACAATGTAGAAAATAGTAAAAATAAAGAAAAACCCTGGAACGAGTAGGTGTATCCAAACTTTTGACTGGTGCTGTATATAACGTTTCTGCTCTGAAATGCATTTACACTATATATACAAAAGTATGTGGACGCCCCTTCAAATGAGTGGATTCGGCTATTTCAGCCACACCCATTGCTGACAGGTGTATAAAATTGAGCACACAGCCATGCAATCTCCATAGACAAACATTGGCAGTAGAATGGCCTCACTGAAGAGCTCGGGGACATTCAACGTTGCACTGTCATAGAATTCCACCTTTCCAACAAGTCAGTTCGTCAAATTTTTGCCCTGCTAGAGCTGCTCCGGTCAACTGTAAACGCTGTTATTGTGAAGAGGAAATGTCTAAGAGCAACAACGGCTGAGCCGCGAAGTGGTAGGCCTACAAGCTCACAGAATGGGACCGCCGAGTGCTGAAGCGTGTAAATATCGTCTGTCCTCGGTTGTAACACTCACTATAGAGTTCCAAACTGCCTCTGGAAGCAACGTCAGCACAAGAACTGCACAAGAACTGTTAGTTGGGAACTTCATGAAATGGGTTGCTGTGGCCGAGCAGCCGCACACAAGCCTAAGATCACCATGCGCAATGCCAAGCGTCAGCTGGAGTGGTGTAAAGCTCGCCGCCATTGGACTCTGGAGCAGTGGGAACGCGTTCTCTAAAGTGATGAATCACGCTTCACCATCTGGCAGTCCGACGGACAAATCTGGGTTTGGCGGATGCCAGGAGAACGCTACCTGCCCCAATGCATAATGCCAACTGTAAAGTTTGGTGGAGGAGGAATAATGGGCTGGGGCAGTTTTTCATGGTTCAGGCCCCTTAGTTCCAGTGAAGGGAAATCTTAACGCTACAGCATACAATGACATTCTAGACAATTCTGTGCTTCCAACGTTGTGGCAACAGTTTGGGGAAGGCCCTTTCCTGTTTCAGCATGACAATGCCCCTGTGCACAAAGCGATGTCCATACAAAAATGGTTTATCAAGATCGGTGTGGAAGAACTTGACTGGCCTGCACAGAGCCCTGACATCAGCACAATCAAACACCTTTGGGATTAATTGGAACGCCGACTGTCATCACCCAACATCAGTGCTTGACTCTCAGGAACGCGTATGTGTCTTCTGTTTCCCTCAATCCGCGCAGGACTCATTAGAAAAGAGTGAACAAGACCAGGCACTAAATCAGACTGGGGTAAAAAATAAAATGATAAATGTTGATGTTCTTTTCTACATAGGATATCGCCCCCCAAAACTTTGCCTGATTTTATTTCTTTTTTATTTCACCTTTATTTAACCAGGTAAGCCAGTTGAGAACAAGTTCTCATTTACAACTGCGACCTGGCCAAGATAAAGCAAAGCAGTGCGATTAAATACAACAACACATAGTTACATATGGGGTAAACAAAACATAAAGTCAAAAATACAAGTGTCGCCCTGCAACAACCTCTCTCTCAGCAAACTCAAAGGACTTCTGACATGATGTCCAAACACGAGTTCATTCGGATTAAAACTGAGAGATTCCTTAACAACCTCCCACGCTGAAAACAGCACAAGACCCCTTCATAACAGTCTCTCAAAAGCCCTAAACAGACTTCAAAGTCTGATGAAATCTCTCAAGAGCACCTTTTTTTTCACCTTTATTTAAACAGGTAAGCCAGTTGAGAACAAGTTCTCATTTACAACTGCGACCTGGCCAAGATAAAGCAAAGCAGTGCGGAAAAAAACAACAACACAGAGTTACATATGGAATAAACAAGACGTACAGTCAATAACACAATAGAAAATCAATATACAGTGTGTGCAAATGTAGTAAGTTATGGAGGTAAGGCAATAAATAGGCCATAGTGCAAAATAATTACAATTTAGTATTAACACTGGAGTGATATATGTGCAGAAGATGATGTGCAAATAGAGATACTGGGGTGCAAAGGAGCAAAATAAATAACAATGTAAATAACAATATGGGGATGAGGTAGTTGGGTGGGCTAATTACAGATGGGCTGTGTACAGGTGCAGTGATCGGTAAAGCTGCTCTGACAACTGATGCTTAAAGTTAGTGAGGGAGATAAGAGTCTCCAGCTTCAGAGATTTTTGCCATTCGTTCCAGTCATTTGCAGCAGAGAACTGGAAGGAAGGAGATGTTGGCTTTGGGGATGACCAGTGAGATATACCTGCTGGAACGCATACTACGGGTGGGAGTTGCTATGGTGACCAATGATCTAAGATAAGGCGGGGATTTGCCTAGAAGTGATTTATAGATGACCTGGAGCCTGTGGGTTTGGCGACGAATATGTAGTGAGGGCCAGCCAACGAGAGCGTACAGGTCACAATGGTGGGTAGTATATGGGGCTTTGGTGACAAAATGGATGGCACTGTGATAGACTACATCCAATTTGCTGAGTAGAGTGTTGGAAGCTATTTTGTAAATTACATCGCCGAAGTCAAGGATCGGTAGGATAGTCCGTTTTACGAGGGCATGTTTAGCAGCATGAGTGAAGGAGGCTTTGTTGCAAAATAGGAAGCAGATTCTAGATTTAACTTTGGATTGGAGATGCTTAATGTGAGTCTGGAAGGAGAGTTTACGGTCTAACCAGACACCCAGGTATTTGTAGTAGTCCACATATTCTAAGTCAGACCCGCCAAGAGTAGTGATTCTAGTCGGGCGGGCGGGTGCAAGCAGCGTTAGATTGAAGAGCATGCATTTAGTTTTACTAGTGTTTACGAGCAGTTGGAGGCCACGGAGGGAGTGTTGTATGGCATTGAAGCTCGTTTGGAGGTTTGTTAACACAGTGTCCAATGAAGGGCCAGATGTATACAAAATGTGTCGTCTGCGTAGAGGTGGATCAGAGAGTCACCAGCAGCAAGAGCGACATCATTGATATACACAGAGAGTCGGCCCGAGAATTGAACCCTGTGGCACCCCCATAGAGACTGCCAGAGGTCCAGACAACAGGCCCTCCGATTTGACACATTGAACTCTATCTGAGAAGTAGTTGGTGAACCAGGCGAGGCAGTCATTTGAGAAACCAAAGCTATTTAGTCTGCCAATAAAAATGTGGTGATTGACAGAGTCAAAAGCCTTGGCCAGGTCGATGAAGACGGCTGCACAGTACTATCATTTATAGATTGCGATTATTATATCGTTTAGGACCTTGAGCGTGGCTGAGGTGCACCCATGACCAGCTAACCAGATTGCATAGCGGAGGTTACGGTGGGATTCGAAATGGTCGGTGATCTGTTTAAGTTGGCTTTCAAATACTTTCGAATGGCAGGGCAGGATGGATATAGGTCTGTAACAGTTTGGATCTAGAGTGTCACCCCCTTTTAAGAGGGGGATGACCGCGGCAGCTTTCCAATCTCTGGGGATCTCAGACGATACGAAAGAAAGGTCGAACAGGCTAGTAATAGGGGTTGCGACAATTTCTGCGGCTAATTTTAGAAAGAAAGGTTCCAGATTGTCTAGCCCAGCTGATTTGTAGGGGTACATATTTTTCAGCTCTTGCAGGACATCAGCTATCTGAATTTGGGTGAAGGAGAAGCGGGGGGGGGGGGGGGGGGGGGGTAATGGGCAAGTTGCAGCGGAGGGTGCAGTAGCCAGGTGGAAAACATGGCCAGCCGTAGCAAAATGCTTATTGAAATTCTTGATTATCGTAGATGTATCGGTGGTGACAGTGTTTCCTAGCCTTAGTGCAGTGGGTAGCTGGGAGAAGGTGCTCTTATTCTCCATGGACTTTACAGTGTCCCAAAACTTTTTGGAGTTAGTGCTACAGGATGCAAATTTCTGTTTGAAAAAGCTAGCCTTTGCTTTCCTGACTTCCCTGAAAAGTTGCATATCGCGGGGGCTGTTCGATGCTAATGCAGTACGCCACAGGATGTTTTTGTGCTGGTCAAGGGCAGTCAAGTCTGGGGTGAACCAGGGGCTGTATCTGTTCTTAGTTCTGCATTTTTTGAATACGGCATGCTTATTTAAGATGGAGAGGAAAGCACTTTTGAAGAACATCCAGGCATCCTCTACTGACGGAATAAGGTCAATATCCATCCAGGATACCCGGGCCAGGTCAATTAGAAAGGCCTGCTCGCTGAAGTGTTGTAGGGAGCGTTTGACAGTGATGAGGGGTGGCTGTTTGATGGCGGACCCATTACGGACGTAGGCAATGAGGCAGTGATCGCTGAGATCCTGGTTGAAGACAGCGGAGGTGTATTTAGAGGGTAAATTAGTCAGGATGATATCTATGAGGGTGCCCATGTTTACGGATTTAGGGTTGTACCTGGTAGGTTCCTTGATAATTTGTGAGAGATTGAGGATGGCTGGGGTGTTAAGCATATCCCAGTTTAGATCACCAAGCAGTACGAACTCTGAGGATAGATGGGGGCAAGCAATTCACAAATGGTGTCCAGGGCACAACTGGGGGCTGAGGGGGGTCTGTAGCATGCGGCAACAGTGAGAGACTTATTTCTGGAAAGATCTTTAGAAGTAGAAGCTCAAACTGTTTGGGCACAGACCTGGATAGTATGATAGAGCTCTGCAGGCTATAGTAGATTGCAACTCCGCCCCCTTTGGCAGTTCTATCTAGACGGAAGATGTTGTAGTTCAGGATGGATATTTCTGGATTTTTGGTGGCCTTCTTGAGACAAGATTCAGACACTGCTAGAACATCAGGGTTGGCAGAGTGTGCTAACGCAGTGACTAACTCAAACTTGGAGAGGAGGCTTCTGATGTTAACATGCAAGAAACCAAGGCTTTTACGGTTACAGAAGTCAACAAATGATAGCGCCTGGGGGGTAGTAGTGTTACTGGGGGCTACAGGACCTGGGTTAACCTCTACATCACTAGAGGAACAGAGGAGGAATAGAATAAGGATACGGCTAAAGGCTTTAAGAACTGGTCTTCTAGTGCGTTGGGTACAGAGAATAAAAAGGGCAGATTTCCGGGCGTTGTAGAATAGATTCTTGGCATTATGTACAGACAAGGATATGGAAGGATATGAGTACAGTGGAGGTACACCTAAGCATTGGGTAACTATGTAAGAGATAGCATCACTGGAGGTACCGATTGAGCCAGTCTCCGTGTGTATGGGGGGTGGGACAAAGTAGCTCTCTGAGGCTGGTTGAGCGGGACTGGGGGCTCTACAGTGAAATTGTATAATAAGAACTAACCCAAACAGCAATAGGCTAGGCATATTGACATGGGAGAGAGGCAATCACAGGTGTTATTCGAGAGGGCTAAGACAACAACTGGTAATGGCGATGAAAGTTTGGGCTGAGGCTAAACAGATAAACAGGATGGGGTACCGTGTAAAGGAACAGACCAGCAGGCATTAGCTGTGTAGCTGAGTGATCAAAAGGTCCAGTGAACAGCAATAGGCAGTTCGTAGGCTACTACAGCACCGGTGAGCAGGAGGCACGGCTGTTGATTGCGCATGCTAGCGGGCCTGGGCTAGCAGATGGATCTTCGTGGTCATCGCAATGGGAAGCCTGTTGAAACCACATCAGACGATTATGTCGGCAGACCATTCGTGATGGATCGCGGGGCTCCGTGTCGACACTAGGAGGTCCCGTCCGGTTGACAGAGAGATAGATAGCCGGGAGATGGGCCTGGCTCGAGGCTAGCTCAAGGCTAACTGGTACGTCGGGACAGTGGTGATTAGCCAACAACAGCCATTCGGTTGCAGCTAGCTAGTTGAGATGGTCCGGTGTTAAGGTCCAGTGATTCTGTGATTCCGGCAGAAAATCCGATATGCTCTGGGTCGATAGCACGCTGTGCAGACTGGCCGATAATTGTCCAGGCTAGAGCTGGCTGGTAGGTAGTGCAGGCCACGGACAGTGGTGAAGACCGCTAACGGAGGCTAATAGCAAGTAGCTAGTTAGCTGGCTAGCTGGCTAGTTTCAGCCGTAGGTTCTTGATAAAAATAAAGAAATAGAATCCGTTCCACATTGAGTGAGGCGGGTTGCAGGAAAGTATATTTAGTTAAAGGATGGAAAGTGAGATAGAGAAATATATACGAAAAAGAAGACAAAAAAAAAAGGCTATTTACACGAGGACACAACACAATACACGACCACACTGCTACGCCATCTTGGAATGATGATCTTATGAACTTCCTAATACCTTTCTGATGCATTTCAGTCACTTCAGATTGAAATACTGTCAAAAGTACTGTCAAAGTGCCATAGCCCCAATTAAAAAAGTAAGCATTGGCCTTTAATTACATCACTTTTGTTTCATGGTGGGGTCGCAAAACAATGTTGATATCAACAATGGGGTCGCGGGTCCCAAAAAGTTTGGGAACCCCTGATGTAGGGGATCTAGTTTCAGGCATTTATTTTATGCCTGCTATGTTAGGTTACGTGAAATAGATAAATGTGTCTGTCAACTGAGCCAGAAATACACATAAAAAATGTGCCTCTAAAAAGGCCAACATTGGAATAATATTCAAATCTATTTAGCAAAATATAAGTAAATGAGTTATACAAAGGAGGCTAAATTTAAAGCAGGTGCTTCCACACAGGTGCTTATTGAGTTAATTAAGCAATTAACTTCCCATCATGCTTAGGGCCATGTATAACAATGCTCAGTTGCCCATTATTTTGGCTACCATGGCTAGAAGAAGAGATCTCAATGACTTTGAAAGAGGGGTCTCAAAGAGCATAGGGGGTTTAAAGTGTGTGTGTGTGTGTGTGTGTGTGTGTGTGTGTGTGTGTGTGTGTGTGTGTGTGTAGAATCTATGCCAAGGCGCATTGAACACTTTATGTTGGTGTTTCCTTTATTTGGGCAGTTATCTGTACATAAATAATTAGCCTACATCTCAAAGTGTAGCCTAGGTGATATGTCCACACCGATGCTGACATGAGGGAGGTACCAGAAAATATAGCCAAACTTGAATGAGACTTTTAATTACATAAATAAAGGTTAAACACCAGTCATGTTTGACAAATATAATGTAAGGAATTAACATTAACGTCTAAAGGCTTCTGTTGACATAGTTGAGGCACGGTTCGTTCAGACAGTAATGTTTAGATGTGTATTTCAATGAGCTAGCGAGTGTGAGAGGTTGTGTGTGTGCATGTGTATGTCGTGTCTGCTATCTGAAACACCCATATTATTAGTTTCTGCACTGATACAGTGTCTGCCACAGTGATGTCATATCCCCTTGATAAATCAATTTATAGTGCACAGGCTTGACCTGTTCTGGCGCCTTGTTTTTGCCTCTGCCAAACGTTTGATCTAGGAGGAGGTCATCTCTTTTCCCAGCCCTGGCAGATTAGAAGAAAAGTTTTTGCTGTGTTTTTTTCCGTCTATTTTGAGAGAGAGTTATGCATTGCTTTCTCCACTAGTCATCTTTTCGACCTATGAATTCATAGTCAGTAGAGGGCATTGTTTTGAAACTGTGAGAGATGTGATTGTTTTGAGAGTACATCAATGGGCTTGACTATGAGAGCCCACATATATGAGGGAGCCCTTATATTTGAGTTCAGATGAAATCATATTAATTATTCAAATTTTGGCACCATCGTTTATGTACTAGGCCCATTTTTGGTCGTCTTGGGAAATTATTTCACATTTCCATGGCTAAATGTAATCTGTTGACTGTGAGTGGGGAGGCAAAATAGTCCAGAGATTAAGACATTCAGTCAAGTTTGATATTACCTTTGGAATCTCACGAAGGCCTTTAAAGAGTCACACAAAGTACCAGACAACTTGTTGAACTACACTGCCTAATGTCAGGCATCTTTAATATTGCAAGAAGGTTTGTCCTCATTTGCCCCTATACTGTAGATAAGTGCAGCTCAACCATCTCCACCCGGCCATGTTGGTCAGTTTGGTGTGTCCTCTGCCGAACACTGTATTCATCTCCATTCCTTTTCCCAGTTGAGCTGAACCGATCCAACATGGGCACCAGTGACTCAGAAAAAGTCATCAAGCATCTGAACGAGGAGCTTCAAGAGGCCCAGGAGTTCTCCAAGACAGGAAAACTGAAATGCATGGAACTGCAAGGTACTGGAAAGGCTTTAGGAATGACACTCACACAACAGTGCATTACCCAATACTGTAAAACCATACATGCACAAGCACACACACATTCACATAACATCTACAGCACTGAATGTTCTCTGTTAGAGAAGTTAACTTATTGTCCTTCTGTATTTGTGTCATACATTGCAGGGCTCCTGGAGGAAGAGAGGCGAGCCAACAAGCAGCAAGCTGGCGAGTCTGCAAAACAGATGAAAGTCCTACAGGGTAGGCCTAAGTGTGTGCGTGTTTCCTACAATTACTTTAGGGGTGTGTGAGCAATGTGCAGGAATGTGTGTGGGTAAAGCTGTGTTTGTGCAAGTGTTTCTGTACATGTCTGTTCATGAATGTAGGCTACTATATCTGTGTAAGTTAAAGTTTGTGTGTAGGCCTAGTTATGTTGTTGGTTCACTCCTGTGAGATAGAAAGAGCTGCCATGAATAATATTACCCCCCCCCCCCCCCCCCCCCCCCTTAGTGTGAAAGATTAGATTGTATCACCCATCTGCACCCAGCTAGTGAAATAACCCTCCTCGCACATCCTTCTGTGTGAGCAGGCCAGCTGCGACAGCTACAGGACGAGCTGGGGGTCCTGAGAGAGCAGAAAGACAGCGATTTCATGAGTTCCCAAGATGAACTGCACAGAGCACGAGAAGAAGTGAAGACACTGCGTCACGCCCTGGATGCTGCCACCGCCGATCGGGAGCGGGAGGTTGCTGCTGTCCAGAGTAACCTAGCAACCGTCTCCAAGGAGATGGAGAAGTGGCGACAGACGGCCAGCAAGTACGAGCGTGAGATTAACGGCCTGCAAGGTGACCTACAGCAGCAGAGCAAGCAGTGGCAGAAGGCTGCAGAGTCACAAGGTATAGAAAATACATAATAAATATTTATATAGCCTATATAGGGCTCTATGTTCGGCTGGCGTTAAGGTGGCGCTAGTGTCAAGTTAGTTTGCAATTTCGTCATGTAAGTTACCTGTCTTATATCAGCTCGCTTAAAAATATTATCCATAGTGCTAATTTCAGGCAGTGCTGATAGGATATTTAACACCAATCAAAAACTGGTTTTAGCAGTAACACAGTCTATCCAGCCGTGACGCACACTTCCCATATGCGCATGGAACAAGAGTAGCCTAATGTGCTTTTGGTGCCTGTATACTTCGTATTTAGAAACATTAAAAACGGTTGTTGTTTTTTTCCATTTTGTTTTGTTTGATTAAAAACCAAGCACTCCCCTCCTCTCAATTAATGCTTTTTTTCTGCCCAATGCAATTGTGAAGTAGTCAAGACTGTCGATAAAGGGTTTGGCTCCTGAGACCGCTTGGAAATCAATCTTAATCACTAAAGATTTATTAAAATATAAAGTTTGAGAGGAATGAAACAGTGAGCTGACATTCCCTTTTTAACTATGCATTGTATGAAGGCCCACATTATTTTAGCCATAAAGGTCCCGTTTTGGACGTGCGTAAAACCCCCTCCAGGATGTAGGCTACGTGTCCACGCCCATCATGAAATGAGAGATGAGAACCTTCGGTGAATACCGATGAACCTCGTATTTAAAAGTTGTAACCTTTAGAAATTGCAATCAGTTGTGTTGTGACAAGGTAGGGGGGGGGGGGGGGGTGTACAGAAGATAGCCCTATTTGGTAAAAGACCAAATCCATATTATGGCAAGAACAGCTCAAATAAGCAAAGAGAAACAACAGTCCATTTAAGACATGGAGGTCAGTCAATACAGAACATTTCAAGAACTTTGAAAGTTTCATGAAGTGCAGTCACAAAAACCATCAAGCACTATGATGAAACTGGCTCTCATGAGGACCACCACAGGAATTAAGACCCAGAGTTACCTGCTGCAGAGGATAAGTTCATTAGAGTTACCAGCCTCAGAAATTGCAGCCCAAATAAATGCTTCACATAGTTCAAGTAACAGACACATCTCAACATCAACTGTTCAGAGGAGACTGTGTGAATCAGGCCTTCATGGTTGAATTGCTGCAAGGAAACCACTACTAAAGGACACCAATAAGAAGAAGAGACTTGCTTGGGCCAAGAAACATGAGCAATGGACATTAGACCGGTGGAAATGTGTCCTTTGGTCTGGAGTCCAAATTGGAGATTTTTGGTTCCAACCGCCGTGGCTTTGTGAGACGTGGTGTGGGTGAACGGATGATCGCCGCATGTGTATTTCCCACCGTAAAGCATGGAGGAGGAGGTGTTATGGTGTGGGGGTGCTTTGCTGGTGACACTGTCTGTGATTTATTTAGAATTCAAGGCACACTTAACCAGCATGGCTACCACAGCATTCTGCAGCGATACGCCATTCCATCTGTTTTGGGCTTAGTGTGACTCTCATTTGTTTCTCAACAGGACAATGACCCAACACACCTCCAGGCTCTGTAAGGGCTATTTTACCAAGAAGGAGAGTGATGAAGTACTGCATCTGATGACCTGGCCTCCACAATCCCGACCTCAACCCAATTGAGATGGTTTGGGATGAGTCGGACCGCAGAGTGAAAGAAAAGCAGCCAACAAGTGCTCAGCATATGTGGGAACTCCTTCAAGACTGTTGGAAAAGCATTCCAGGTGAAGCTGGTTGAGAGAATGCCAAGAGTGTGCGAAGCTGTCATCAAGGCAAAGGGTGGCTATTTGAAGAATCTCAAATATAAAATGTATTTTGATTTGTTTAACACTTTTTTGGTTACTATATGATTCCATATGTGTTATTTCATAGTTTTGATGTCTTCACTATTATTCTACAATGTAGAAAATAGTAAAAATAAAGAAAAACCCCGGAAAGAGTAGGTGTATCCAAAGTTTTGACTGGTGCTGTATATATCGTTTCTGCACTGAAATGCATTTACACTATATTTACAAAAGTATGTGGACGCCCCTTCAAATGAGTGGATTCGGCTATTTCAGCCACACCCGTTGCTGACAGGTGTATAAAATTGAGCACACCGCCATGCAATCTCCATAGACAAACATTGGCAGTAGAATGGCCTCACTGAAGAGCTCGGGGACTTTCAACGTGGCACCGTCATAGAATTCCACCTTTCCAACAAGTCAGTTCATCAAATTTCTGCCCTGCTAGAGCTGCCCCGGTCAACTGTAAATGCTGTTATTGTGAAGAGCAACAACGGCTGAGCCGCGAAGTGGTAGGCCTACAAGCTCACAGAATGGGACCGCCGAGTGCTGAAGCGTGTAAAAATAGTCTGTCCTCGGTTGTAACACTTACTATAGAGTTCCAAACTGCCTCTGGAAGCAACGTCAGCACAAGAACTGCACAAGAACTGTTAGTTGGGAACTTCATGAAATGGGTTTCTATGGCCGAGCAGCCGCACACAAGCCTAAGATCACCATGCGCAATGCCAAGCGTCGGCTGGAGTGGTGTAAAGCTCGCCGCCATTGGACTCTGGAGCAGTGGGAACGCGTTCTCTAAAGTGATTAATCACGCTTCACCATCTGGCAGTCCGACGGACGAATCTGGGTTTGGCGGATGCCAGGAGAACGCTACCTGCCCCAATGCATAATGCTAACTGTAAAGTTTGGTGGAGGAGGAATAATGGTCTGGGGCTGTTTTTCATGGTTCAGGCCCCTTAGTTCCAGTGAAGGGAAATCTTAACGCTACAGCATACAATGACATTCTAGACAATTCTGTGCTTCCAACGTTGTGGCAACAGTTTGGGGAAGGCCCTTTCCTGTTTCAGCATGACAATGACCCTGTGCACAAAGCGAGGTCCATACAAAAATGGTTTGTCAAGATTGGTGTGGAAGAACTTGACTGGCCTGCACAGAGCCCTGACATTAGCACCATCAAACACCTTTGGGATTAATTGGAACGCCGACTGTGATCACCCAACATCAGTGCTTGACTCTCAGGAATGCGTATGTGTCTTCTGTTTCCCTCAATCCGCGCAGGACTCATTAGAAAAGAGTGAACAAGACCAGGCACTAAATCAGACTAGGCTACGTGTCCACGCCCATCATGAAACGTGAGATGAGAACCTTCGGTGAATACCGGTTAACCTCGTATTTAGATGTTGTAACCTTTAAAAATTGCATGTTTTCCATTTTATACAGTGCATTTGGACAGTAATCAGACCTCTTGACTTTATCCACATTTTGTTACGTTACAGCCTTATTATAAAATGGATTATATAAATAAAAATATATCTACACACAATACCCCATAATGACAAAGCGAAAACAGGTTTTTAGAAATGTTTGCAAATGTATAAAAAAATGTAACGTATTTAAATAAGTATTCAGACCCTTTGCAATGAGACTCGAACATGAGATCTGGTGCATCCTGTTTCCATTGATCATCTTTGAGATGTTTCTACAACTTGATTGGAGTTCACCTGTGGTAAATTCAATTGATTGGACATTATTTGGAAAGGCACACACCTGTTTATATAAGGTCCCACAGTTGACAGTGGCCTCCATCATTCTTAAATGGAAGAGGTTTGTAACCACCAAGACTCTTCCTAGAGCTGGCCACCCGGCAAAACTAAGCAATTCAAGGAGAAGGGCCTTGGTCAGGGAGGTGACCAAGAAACTGATGGTCACTCTGACAGAGCTCCCGAGTTCCTCTGTGGAGATGGAAGAACCTTCCAGAAGGACAACCACCTCTGCAGCACTCCACCAATCAGGCCTTTATGGTAGAGTGGCCAGACGGAAGCCACTCCTCAGTAAAAGGCACATGACAGCCCGCTTGGAGTTTGCCAAAAGGCACCTAAAGGACTCTCATAGCATAAGAAACAAGATTCTCTGGTCTGATGAAACCGATATTGAACTCTTTGGCCTGAATGCCAAGCTTCACTTCTGGAGGAAACCTGGCACCATCCCTACGGTGAAGCATGGTGGTGGCAGCATCATGCTGTGGGGATGTTTTTCTGCAGCAGGGACTGGGAGACTAGTCAGGATCGAGGGAAATATGAACGGAGCAAAGTACAGAGAGATCCTTGATGAAAACCTACTCCAGAGCACTCAGTACCTCAGACTGGGGCAAAGGTTCACCTTCCAACAGGACAACAACCCTAAGCACACAGCCAAGACAACGCAGGAATGGCTTCGGGACAAGTCTCTGAATGTCCTTGAGTGTCCCAGCCAGAACCCAGACTTGAACCCAATTGAACATCTCTGGAGAGACCTGAAAAAAGCTGTGCAGCAATGCTCCCCATCCAACCTGACAGAGCTTGAGAGGATCTGCAGAGAAGAATGGGAGAAACTCCCCAAATACAGGTGTGCCAAGTTTGTAGTGTCATACCCAAGAAGACTCGAGGCTGTAATCGCTGCCAAAGGTGCTTCAACAAAGTACTGAGTAAAGGGTCTGTATACTTATGTAGATGTATATTTCCGATTATGCTCATAAAACATAGGACTATTTGGTAGCAGTATAACGGTGAGTGGGCATTCTCCCTTTCTATTTATATTGGATCTTTATCCAGCTACTGTGAAAAGTTTGGACGTGCGTAAAACCTTCAATAGTCTGCATTGTTTTAATATTATATGCCCACGGGGAGAAATTATGCTGCCTGTAAGTGTATTTAGACATAGCCTATTTAAAACAATATTATTATTTTATTTTTTTTTGGGGGGGGGGTTTGATTATAATTATTTGTTCTCTTTTTAGGCCTTATCAATAATTAATTTAATCTTGCTTATTGACAATGTGTGGCATGTCCATGCTCAGCCATAATGCAATTTAAAGTAGGCCTAGCCCGTATATCAGTGTGAATGCTATTGAAGCCATGCAATTACTTAGAACAATGTGGACTACAAATGGGTTCAAGTTAGCATTTTTTATTTAGCAAAGATAGGTCTACATTTTGTTATTTTGTTTCTGTATGCCATTTAACAAACTATAATGGACTAACATTGGAATTGGAGTTGATTCCAAGACAATACATAAAAGACCGTAAATACACAACTTGAAGCAACCACATATTTTGCCATGGAGCACGTTCTGATTGGCCAGTGAGGGGCCAAGCCTTGACAAACCCACAACTTGTTTATTCATCAAAACCCAGCCCTTTCGCGCCAATGCCAGCAAGTGCGCCGATAATTGTGATAGTTAAAATAGCAAAAATATTTCTGACACACCCCTGAACCTATAGCGTTACCGCCTGCGCTTAGATTTACCATTGCGTTAGGTTTGTTAAAATAGAGCCCATACTGTATATTGACAAACTGTAAAAGAAGCACAACTTTGCTTCACAGTTGCATTCATGTGAAAGTATGTCCACATCAACTTAGTTTGGGCAGTTAATCAGCCCGGAAAAGTCATCTGACTAAATAGTTTTACTGAAAGTATCAAGGAGTTGGCGAAAACAAGAACAGACTGGCACTCAGGCTGTGATATGATGCCATGTTGAGGCATGTATGAGCGTCCCTATGGTTTTCTACAGCAGCTGAACTGGAGTCTATACAGAGGGAGTACACCAGCCTCCAGAGGGAGGTGTCGTCCCTGCGCTTGGAGAAACAAGAGGTGCTAAATAAACATCAGAAGGAGTGTGCTGCCCTCAGGGTGGAAAAGGAGGAGCTGCTCAGGGCTCACCAGAAGGAGAAGGGGAACCTACAGAATGAGAGTGCAGTCATGCGCTCAGAGAAAGAGGCCATGCTGAAGAAGCAAATGGTGTTAGAGAAGGATTTGGCCAGGTCAGTCTGTAATCTGCAACACAACTTGCAAGAACATTTGTTCAGAAACATCATACAGTACACTGAGTTGAGGGTACACAACCCAACTCCAAAATGGTCCCAAACGCTCTCACACTGCCCCTTATTCTAATCCCTTACTCTAGTCAAATCCCTAATTATCTTTGACTCTGACTTTTACACTTTCTTTCACACACACACACTTATTGACAGACCAATAAAGTTGACATCAAAATGGTCACGATTAGAATACAACAGGCTACATATCATTCATATAAAGTAACACTGCTCCTGACCTCTGTCTCGCTCTATCTTTCTGCTTCTCTATCCATCTCTCTTCTTCATCTCTCTTTCTACCCCTCTCTCTCCCAGCTCGCTTGCCCAGAGTGCTGAGCTGAGCAGCAGCCTGAAGGCCCTGGAGCACCATCAGGGGGAGATGGAGAAGAGGTTGGGGGCCCTGCAGGAGCAGCACCTGCAGGACAACACCAAGCTTCAGAGCCAGCTGGACCAGTCAGACGGCCGCACCAAGGACCTGCAGAGAGAGGTGGGCACAGGATGTGCACGCTGTCTTCCTCCCTTCCTTGAAGTAATCACGGTCTGTGATTTGACATGACTGGATAGGCTATAAAAGCTACAGTATATAATGCACGTGTCAAACTCAAGGCCGAATCTGGCCTGCGGGTAGTTTGAGTAAAATCTAAAATACATATACTATATATTTTCTTTAACCTTTTTTTGTCTGTGAAAAACATTGAAAAGACTAAAACCAAATCGAAACTGTGTAGAAATTATAATGGACCTACCTTTATACTCTCTTCACTCTGTCCAGCTTGCTAATAGTCATCGAAACGAAAGCTAGATAATCAGGGACCATCAAAAATTGCAAAAGCGATAGAGGATTATTCTTTGCTAATTTTGACTTACAGGAAATATAATACATTTTAAGTGTGGCCCTCCAGAAAATGTGTTCAATACCCTGATATAATGTAACCCATAATGGTCAGATCCGACCGTGTTAGCTCAGTGATCACTTCATGGCAAGGGGGAAGGAAGGATGTATGTTCAAAGTATTTGAAGATGGCCTGGAATTTCACAACCACAGTTTTATCCCATTTGAAACAGAAACCTTATGCTTTCTCTTTGAATGTTTTATGAATGCCTGTGATATTTATAACCTCTCTGTTCTCAGTATGAGGAGACACAGACCGAGCTGTCAGACCTGAAGGAGAAGTTTGAGACGACTGAGCAGGAAAAGCAGTCGATCACTGATGAGCTTGGGGAGTGTAAAGCTGACCTGAAGATGCAGCGGGAGAAAGGAAACAAAGTGAGTTATCCACTATCAAGACTGTCCATACGGTACTGCCAGTAAGGAGAGTGAGAGGTATTGCATGAATCGTCTTCAACATTTATGTTTTGTAAATGTTGGGTTGAAGTTGAATTCAAATGTTCAGTTCAGATTAAATTGAGTTCAAGCAGCACCAGTAGTAGACTACCCCTTCCCTTTAGCCTGAGTTCTGCATATCCCACAAAGACAACACAATCTTAGAGACATGGAAAGCAGAACACATGATGCCAGTCCTGCTAGAGCTAAACTCAATTCCATTCCACATAGCACAAGAGGGTTGGAATCTTTTTCATTGCGAAATAACCTGACACAAACATGAATCGTGAGAGGAAGGATTCACCAGAGCATTTCTTATCAAACCACACCTGCTCCCTCCCTTCTCCCCACCTGCTTGTCCCTTGACCATGGGCGGATTGGCCATCTGGCAAATGCCAGATGGGCTGGCCCATTTTTTGTTGTTGTGTGGGCTGGTCGAAATTGACACACACATATAAAAATAAAACAATGAGAAAGGTGACATGGCCATACTAATCTATAATGAGCCTTTGGCTGATCAGTGGGCAACGGCTGGCCCTTACCAAGATGGGCTGGCCCGGTTTTCTGATAGGCTGAGCTGAGGTCACGCAAACATACATTCAAAGTCAAACGGGGCATCAGCAAAGAGATCTACTCCGACTCTGTCATCAGTTAGACCGCCAAGATCATGGATCATAAAAAACTGAAAGGTTGCCTATAAATGTAGAAAGAGCACATTCTACATTGTCACCTCACTCAAAACGTCCTATATTTTGGGGCGGCTAAAACCATGTTTTGGTCAAACAGTAAAGCGCTTTATCCTCATGATTCCTGTAATGAAGGCTCTCGCTGAGGCCTACTGCTGTGATGAGCGAGCCTCTCTCCTCTCCCCCCATGAGCTTGAGAGAAAAATGCGTTCTGATCGTATAGCATTTCAAACTGCAATTGTGGGAAAACACAGCTTTGAAAGCTTTGTCCCCTTGTCACTGTAGAGGAGAGGAAGGTCTCAGCTTTCTGTTGGTACAGAACATTTTTAATATTCAGCTCAATAGCAACTATTTTACAACCAAGATATTTGATATGGCTTTAAGATAAGGAGTGACGCACGTGCGGAATGAGCACCGGCTGTTGCAAGGGCATAGTCCTACACAGTGCATTTGGAAAGTATTCAGACCCCTTTACTTTTTCCACATTTTGTTACGTTACAGCCTTATTCTAAAATTGATTAAATAATTTTTTTTCCTCATCAATCTACACACTATACCCCATAATGACAAAGCGAAAACAGGTTTTTAGAAATGTTTGCAATTGTATAAAAATACAAATAAATGACAGAAATACCTTATTTACGTACAGTGGGGAAAAAAAGTATTTAGTCAGCCACCAATTGTGCAAGTTCTCCCACTTAAAAAGATGAGAGAGGCCTGTAATTTTCATCATAGGTACACGTCAACTATGACAGACAAATTGAGAAAAAAAAATCCAGAAAATCACATTGTAGGATTTTTTATGAATTTATTTGCAAATTATGGTGGAAAATAAGTATTTGGTCACCTACAAACAAGCAAGATTTCTGGCTCTCACAGACCTGTAACTTCTTCTTTAAGAGGCTCCTCTGTCCTCCACTCGTTACCTGTATTAATGGCACCTGTTTGAACTTGTTATCAGTATAAAAGACACCTGTCCACAACCTCAAACAGTCACACTCCAAACTCCACTATGGCCAAGACCAAAGAGCTGTCAAAGGACACCAGAAACAAAATTGTAGACCTGCACCAGGCTGGGAAGACTGAATCTGCAATAGGTAAGCAGCTTGGTTTGAAGAAATCAACTGTGGGAGCAATTATTAGGCAATGGAAGACATACAAGACCACTGATAATCTCCCTCGATCTGGGGCACCACGCAAAATCTCACCCCGTGGGGTCAAAATGATCACAAGAACGGTGAGCAAAAATCCCAGAACCACACGGGGGGACCTAGTGAATGACCTGCAGAGAGCTGGGACCAAAGTAACAAAGCCTACCATCAGTAACACACTACGCCACCAGGGACCCAAATCCTGCAGTGCCAGACGTGTCCCCCTGCTTAAGCCAGTACATGTCCAGGCCCATCTGAAGTTTGCTAGAGTGCATTTGGATGATCCAGAAGAGGATTGGGAGAATGTCATATGGTCAGATGAAACATTTTGGTAAAAACTCAACTCGTCGTGTTTGGAGGACAAAGAATGCTGAGTTGCATCCAAAGAACTCCATACCTACTGTGAAGCATGGGGGTGGAAACATCATGCTTTGGGGCTGTTTTTCTGCAAAGGGACCAGGACGACTGATCCGTGTAAAGGAAAGAATGAATGGGGCCATGTATCGTGAGATTTTGAGTGAAAACCTCCTTCCATCAGCAAGGGCATTGAAGATTAAATGTGGCTGGGTCTTTCAGCATGACAATGATCCCAAACACACCGCCCGGGCAACGAAGGAGTGGCTTCGTAAGAAGCATTTCAAGGTCCTGGAGTGGCCTAGCCAGTCTCCAGATCTCAACCCCATAGAAAATCTTTGGAGGGAGTTGAAAGTCCGTGTTGCCCAGCGACAGACCCAAAACATCACTGCTCTAGAGGAGATCTGCATGGAGGAATGGGCCAAAATACCAGCAACAGTGTGTGAAAACCCTGTGAAGACTTACAGAAAACATGTGACCTGTGTCATTGCCAACAAAGGGTATATAACAAAGTATTGAGAAACTTTTGTTATTGACCAAATACTTATTTTCCACCATATTTTGCAAATAAATTCATTAAAAATCCTACAATGTGATTTTCTGGAATTTTTTTCTCAATATGTCTGTCATAGTTGACGTGTACCTATGATGAAAATTACAGGCCTCTCTCGTCTTTTTAAGTGGGAGAACTTGCACAATTGGTGGCTGACTAAATACTTTTTTTCCCCACTGTAAGTATTCCGACTTTTTGCTATGAGACTCGAAATTGAGCTCAGGTGCATCCTGTTTCCATTGATCATCCTTGAGATGTTTCTAAAAGTCCACCTGTGGAAAATTCAATTGATTGGATATGATTTGGAAAGGCACACACCTGTATATATAAGGTCCCACAGTTGACAGTGCATGTCAGAGCAAATAACAAGCCATGAGGTAGAAGGAATTGTCCTTAGAGCTCCGAGACCGGATTGTGTCGAGGCACAGATCTGAGGAAGGGTACCAAAAAATGTCAGCTGCATTGAAGGTCCCCAAGAACACAGTGGCCTCCATCATTCTTAAATGGAAGCAGTTTGGAAACACCAAGACTCTTCTTATAGCTGGCCGCCCGGCCAAACTGAGCAATCGGGGAGAAGGGCCTTGGTCAGGGAGGTGACCAAGAACCCGATGGTCACTCTGACAGAGCTCCAGAGTTCCTCTGTGGAGATGGGAGAACCTTTGAGAAGGACAACCATCTCTGCAGCACTCCACCAATCAGGCCTTTATGGTAGAGTGGACGGAAGCCACTCCTCAGTAAAATGAACATGACAGCCTGCTTGGAGTTTGCCAAAAGGCACCTAATGGACTCTCAGACCATGAGAAACAAGATTCTCTGGTCTGATGAAACCAAGATTGAACTCTTTGGCCTGAATGCCAAGTGTCACGTCTGGAGGAAACCTGGCACCATCCCTACAGTGAAGCATGGTGGTGGCAGTATCATGCTGTGGAGATGTTTTTCTGCGGCAGGAACTGGGAGACTAGTCAGGATAGAGGGAAAGATGAACGGCGCAAAGTACAGAGAGATCCTTGATGAAATCCTGCTCCAGAGCGCTCAGGACCTCAGACTGGGGCGAAGGTTCACCTTCCAACATGACAACGACCCTAAACACACAGCCTAGACAACGCAGGAGTGGCTTCGGGACAAGTCTCTGAATGTCCTTGAGTGGCCCAACCAGAGCCCGGACTTGAACCCAATTGAACATCTCTGGAGAGACCTGAAAATAGCTGTGCAGCGACACTCCCAACTTGACAGCGTTTGAGAGGATCTGCAGAGAAGAATGGGAGAAACTCCCCAAATACACGTGTGCCAAGCTTGTAGCGTCATACCTAAGAAGACTCGAGGCTGTAATCGCTGCCAAAGGTGCTTTAACAAAGTACTGAGTAAATGGTCTGAATATTTATCTAAATGTGATATTTCAGTTTTCAATTTATAAAAACCTGTTTTTGCTTTGTCCTTATGGGGTATTGTGTGTAGATTGATGAGGGGGTGAAATTATTTAATAAATTTTAGAATAAGGCTGTAACGTAACACAATGTGGAAAAAGTCAAGGGGTCTGAATACTTTCCGAATGCACTGTAGGTCTCATGGGTAGTAGCATACAACTGCAAATATTTTCTACCGACATAGCGCTTTGCATTTAGGCCAAAGAGTTCAATTTCTGTCAGACTACAGAATCATCAGACCACAGAATCTTTTGCCTTATAATCTCAGAGTCTTTCATGTGCCTTTTTGCAAACTCCAGACGTGCTGTCATGTGCCTTTTTCTCAGGAGTGGCTTCCGTCTGGCCACTCTCCCATAAAGATGAGATTGGTGAAGTGCTGTAGATACTGTTGTCCTTCTGGCAGGTTCTCTCATCTCAGCCAAGGAACTCTGTAGTTCTGTCAGAGTGGTCATTGGGTTCTTGGTCACCTCCCGGATCAAGGTCCTTTTTGCCCGGTTGCTGAATTTGGTTGGATGGCCAGCTCTACATTTACATTTTAGTCATTTAGCAGACGCTCTTATCCAGAGCGACATACAGTTAGTGAATACATATTATTTTTTTATACTGGCCCCCCGTGGGAATCAAACCCACAACCCTGGTGTTGCAAGCGCCATGCTCTACCAACTGAGCTACACGGGGAGCAGAGTCTGGGTAGTTCCATATTTTTTCAATTTCCGAATGATGGAGACCACTGTGCTCTTCAACTGTGGGACCTTATATAGTTTCTTTCTAATGTCCAAACAATTGAATTGGCCACAGGTGGACTCCAATC